TTTCGCGGAATTTTCGCGAAAATATCCCTATTCACAGACCCCGGCCATCAGCAGGGGGTGCACTGAAGGAAAAGCGAAGACCAGGGGCCTTGGCATTTGGCTCTCGCAAAGCCTCACTTTTGGAAACTTGGCTACTGCTTCATTCGCATTCTCTGGTGTCCTTCTCCTGCCGGACGCCGGGAGGCAGTGGGTCGCAACCCTTTACATAATGATTATAATACCCAATTTTCGCGAAACTTTCGCGAAATAAAATTTTACTTTCGCGAACTCGAAAAAAAACTTTCGCGAGGGTTTCCAACATAACATGCACGGCTTTCGCAATTAAAACTCCTTACAAGGACCTTTAGATCGATCACCAATTATATTTGTTTATAATTACAACTACAAATACCAATATACGACATTACTACTACAACTACTGTGAATGGCCGCTGGTCAATCCGCCCAAGTTGTAAGGGTTGAACTTTGAATGCGTGCCCTTCTCCTTATTGTTGATGTTGTCCGCAGCAAGCGCTAGTTGTTTTCCTCCATAGCAGGCAGTCGCTCGTCTTGAGCCAGATGCCGCGGATACACGTGCATCTCTCGCATGAATTAATGTTCCCGCCAACTGCTATTTGCATGTGGATGACCTGACGTAGCCTGTGGCCTGGGTTACATTGTTACCCCACATGTCTGACCTTTTCTGATGGTCAGACACAGGAGTAAACGCCAGGCTTAAAATTTGGTCATCCTTCTGCGAATTAAGCCTTTAAGACTATGTACTGTGCGGCTCGAATTGAAGAATCAACAGTTCTACTTGAAGGATTGTGTACTCACCGGTGTAGGTCTACGTTCGGCTTTCCACGCACCTTCCAGGGTCATGTACTCCCTACCGTGGATCCACGTGTAGGTTTCCAATCACCTGTCTTTGAATTATGCCGCATCACTAGGGCATCCTACCCTAGTTCATATTCGTTGAAAATTTACGCCATCGCACTGGGAAGACTTCGTATCCCACATGTGCGTAGGCTAGATTCGAATTAGCCCGGCGCTCAGAATCCGCTCATGCGTGCTCTTCCATGACAAAGACCATGCACTCTTCATTCTTTACGCCGTTTCTTCGTCTTGTTGGAGTCCTTCATGCTAGATGTAGCTCCTCCTTCCGTGTGCTGGGCATCAGCGACCGCTCGAACATATTGTCGTGCATTTTCTCGCTCAGACGGATCGAGTGATCTGAAACTCACTTCCATCTGTGCGGCGCTCTGTGTGACCGCCTTTAACTTCCCTTCCCACACCCTTTGAAGTTGTTGTGGTAGAGCAAGGCCAATCTTGTTGAGCGTCACGAGGACTGTAAATGTACGTACCCTTTCCGTCACTGCGCATACCAGTTCCACGGGATCAATGTGGATGTGATCATCTCGCTGTGGTGGATTGACCCTAAAATAATCATAGGATCGCACCGCGAAAGTTCCAGAAATAATTTTGCGGATGAAGTCCGATGCCTCCCGTCGTGTTTCTTGTTGACGTTCCTCGTCATCGTCTGTAACATCTGCGACCTTGGAGTAGACGAGTTGTGGTGTCACTCCAATTTGGACGAGGTACTTCATGATTTTGCAAAGAACTTTGATGCCCTTGACCCCTTTGAGGTAAACTTCCAGATCCCTTCCACCAACTTTGCCATTCTTTGCATTGGCGTGGAACGACTGCTTGAGTTGTTCCTCGGTGGGTTCCTTCAGCTCGCCATTGGCGTCTTCACCAACATAGGGGATGTACCCGTCGAATTCCGGAAGAAGTTTGAGCTTCTTCACGTGGTCATAATATTGTTGTGCTGTTGCCATCGATGTCCAGACATGAAAGAGCTTGTAGCGATCTTTCAAGTATGTGAGGATCATGCCGTCCACCGCTCTCGCTGTACTGTCGATTGCGTCCTCATTTTGGGCCATATCGATACAGTGAATGATGGATGCCTGAATCGTCCTCGTAGTCCACAACGGTAAATTGATTCTGGCTTCTCGCTGTTCTTCATCTCGCTCTTGTTCCTGGGCGACTCGTTCATCTTCTTCTTCTTGTTGCTCTTTCGTGTTGTTGCCGAAAGCAACCTTGGGGTCCGGTGCTGCTCGTTCACGTCCGCTTCCCGACATTTCGAAAGCAAAAGTGAGCTATTTCCGTCGAAATCTTGTTGGAGAGATTCTGAAAGCAGCAATTTAGTATAATTTAGTATGCTGAATACTAAAACGAAGACTTACGATTGGGGCCAAAAAAATGTCTTGAAAAGTACGGTGTTTTGGTTGTCCCATGCCAGGCAGTTCGCCATATTAGAAGAACTATTCGTAACATAAAAAGAATCATAATTCCAATGTCATTGATCTGATTTATATTGTTTTATAGTTTAAGAAAAAATGCATCTGTCAAATAAAATGTTGTTACCTGTTGTTCGCGCTGGAAGTGCTGCCTTGATGTGGCTTGAACTCAGCGCGCTTGCAAATTTCTTGCAATTAGCTTGCATCCGCATGCCCCAAATCCAACCCTGGCACCCCAACGCCCCACTGTCGACTGTTCAAGCCTATACAGGTCTGACCACCTCTTCAACCAATCCTGGTGTCTACCTGTAGAGCGCGAATCAGGAACTCTTAAACCAACTATGCGCACATATGATATCCTTAAGATTTTGGTCTTTCATACAATGCCGGCCGACAACAACATATCAGACATATCATATTATTTCTGTGAACGAATATCAATATTGTATGTGTTTTTTCTGAAGGAATGGTTCAATTCACGTAGTTTTCAGAAGCAAAGCATTGGAACTACTTTGTAATGAAGAATGTGCCATGATTTATTCACGGTCCAAGTTATTCTTACACACCTGCACATGTCAAACACGTTTATGACGATGTTCCCAGAATTTGTTTCATGGGTTTTCATGGCATATAAATGATTATAGACTTATAGATGCATTTCGCCCAACTTGCTTCTTGCGGAATTGTTCGTCCCAATGGACTTTTGGGGATGACTTCTGGCCAAACACATCTGCTGATTTGGCGCGTGTGATCCCTCTCCCAAGGGCGCTCCGCTGGGAAGCACTTGCCTTTCTTTTCTCATAAAATCCTTGACGCTGCGTACAAACAGCAGATAGGTCTTACGTCTTTTGATTAAGTTCAGTAACACACTGAACAATGTAGAAAGTATCAGAAGCTGTACATGAAATTCTCAAGGTCAAGCAACGCAATGCTTTCTGGAAACGGTGAGTTCTGGGTTTTGGCTCATGTAACTCATGAAAACTGGCACACCTTGAGGTGAGACTTCAATTTGTCAAAGACTGCTCTTTGCAGCTAGTTTTGACTTATCATTACGTTGTCAGCCAGCTGTCTCAAAGGTCTATGCCCTCAGAAATAGTTGCGACAGCTTGGATGCAGCATCACTCATGAAGCTGACCTCATTTTGTTCACGTGGGATTGTCTTCCTTGCATCGTTCAAATCTGCAAAGTCTAAAGCCGTTGTAAAATGAGTTTGTCTGAAAATAGGTTTCCAAAAAATACTGTCCATCATGTTCATTCCTTTTCCCCCATTACATATATATATATTGATATTGATATTGATATATATATATTACAATTGACATCCATGGGGGAAAAACACAAACCCTTGTTGGATAAACCCCCAGGACTAGTTGTGATTGGCCAAGGCTTTCGAGGCACAATTTCCTGCTCTGTTCTGCGGAACCATTCAAACTGGCGTGCCACTCTGGATGCCGTTGGCGCTGCTGTCACTGTCAGAGCCAGACGGGCTGGGCCTACACTAGGAACAGAGACGTGCCGAGTAGCGTTTTGTACTCTTGGCTTGGCTCTTCCTGAACTTCCTGTATATTTTCATACTTTGGGATCTGTATCTCTACTCAACAAATTGGGATTTGCGTTGTCTCTTCTCAAGTCATCCCTTTCCCTGCCTAGAACTTCTGCTGCACCTAGTGCAGCCGCCGCATAACCTATCTGGCTTCCGCCACCTCAGCGGTACAAGCTTGTGGAGCCGAATCAAATTCACAACGGCTGATATCATTTTTCCATCATGCAATTGCTTGATGTCGGTTCCAGATTGTCGACTGATGTTCGCAACCGCAGATTTTTGAGGCATCCACTGATCCTTTGCTGAAGCTCCGCCGGGAGTAGCTCAAGGATACCGGTGTTGACGGACAAAAATAAGTAGCACCCTGCAAGGGTGCTAACCCAGACCAGGAAGTGAAAAAACAGCGCGGGCAAGCCATAGCGTTTCAAAATCTCCGGAATGCTGACATGCTCCTCTATTCTCTCCTCAATGTTCCTTGGCAGATAGAATCGGGATGGAAAACAAAACGCAAAGTTTTGCAAAGTATCAAAGTATGGTTTCCAAACAAAAACTTCTCTCATGACTCATGACCGACCAAGTTTCGCCACACTGCTCTGAGGTGCCTCCGCGATCTTTGAAACGACGTTTGCGGAGGGGGCATCTGGAGATTTCAACGGCCTGCATCTGAACACATCATATTTGCAGTGCTCAGGTTTTTCCTTGACAATAACTGATGATCAAACTGAAACAGCTTGAAGCGCCTTGGGAAGCCTAGGAACGCAATCTCGCTTGCCAAAAAAGCGCAAAGGAGCAAAGCCCCGGAGAGACGAAAACGTCGCGCGCGCATACGGAAAATTGCAGCTAGAGGCAAATCAAGAATTGAATTAAAAAAAACCTGGAGCCAAAGATCCACAAAGCAAGGCCAGCTGATACACTGCAACTGCACAAGAGAAAATGCTCCTGAACTCTCCTGAGCAAAGAAGCCTCATGGTTCCTCACTGAGCCAAAGTACGTTGGCTTTTACTGTGGATTCTTCTGTCGTGGGTTGACCGCAATATCTACTCACTTGTACAGTGATGTTACCGCGCAGCCTGTTTTGCTCGCAAAAGCAATCATGAGTCAACAGTTGGGGGCATCATCCCCTGCGTGAAATCGCAGAGCACTTAAAGTGTGAATGTGCCCAAAAGGAGAAAAATCACTGGGCCGCAACTTGTTACGGATCATCTAACCCACCTTTTTGTTGGACTAGCTGCTTCACATGTGCCCGCATGCCCGTAGCTTGATTGGCATCTCGCGTGCTCCCAACTCTGTCTGCAACCACTCTGGCTGCGCTCTGAACAAAGAGATTCTGTGGTATCAGGTGGCCAGCAAGGCCCTCCACTCACAGCCCTTCTTGAGGTAAATGATGACCCAGTTGATGACGAGTACAGGCCTCAACTGTTAAATTGATGAAATAATCAGCAAGCAAGTTTGCAATTTGAAGTCTCCCACCTGGAGAACCAGCTTCTTAAAGTTGAAGTCCCTCCTGCTGCTTGGCCCGCCAGTTGTTCCTAATTGCAGCCAAAAGGCAAGCAGCCAAAGAAAAGATGGAAAGTACATGACTGGCCTTGTCAATTCACTTTGCCGCTGAAATCGGCTTATCTCTTCGTATTGCTTTCGTTCAACAACCTTGACTTGCGCGGCAAGATGCCAAAGGACTCATGGAAACATTGATACAAAGAGTGTTGGGCGAACTTTGGGCGAACTATGCAAATTGTTTCAAAGTAGTTACAGTCTTGCTGTTTTGCTGACACTCACGAGTCACGAGGTACCTTTCTCTAACATTACTCGCGACTGAGGCATCAGCTCTTCAAATTCCCCCGCTTGAGATCTGAGCAAGACAGTAAGCCTGCCAGTGTTTCCACAAGCTTGTTACTGTACGTCGCTGTATGTGACATCAAGACTCATCAAGTCAATAGGGAAAGGTCAAAGAAGTGCAAAAGCAGTGCACGAATGACTTGCGACGACACCTGCCTCTCCAACTCGTTTTGCAAATGGCCTGTGCTCTTGATCACCCAAACCAATGTTCCTTACATAGCCAAGTTGTCAGACCACGTCCGACGAAACACAAAAGGTCAACTGCTTTCCAGGACTTCCGGTGTAAGTCTGGGTCCAAGAATAGCAGTCAAGGCAATCAGGCAAAGAGCTGTCAAGATCGACACTATCTCGGAGGGCCTTGATGAGCAATGATGAGCCCAGTTGAAGCAGGAAAATCACCACCACTCTTTTGACAGGCTTTATCCCAGAATTTGCTTTCAGGGTTTACAGGAAGCAGTCAGGATGGTTAAACGATGAACGGTTACTCAGAGACTGACCTCAGAGAAGGCAAAGGCCAGCCAGGCTTCGCTTTGCGCTTGGATCGCGACATGGTTCAGGTACTTCACCCAGAGAACGAAAGGGCCAACAAAATGATATCAACAAAACATAACAAATAATAGATAACACAGGAGAACAAATGATACTGACATATAAGTTATATAAAATAAATTACAAATTATATAACAACTAGTAGATGATAACAATTCGTGACATATGTTGTCAGCTATATTAGCTATCCTTATTATCTTATTGACAAATCAAGGCGGTGCTTGATGCTGAAACAGCACAGTACAGTAAACTGGAGATCTGCATGATGAACTCCCCGTTTCTCAAATACAGACTGTATCAGCTGTGTAACTTCACAAGAAAAAGCAGAATCTTTGCCAAACGCGAAATGCCTGGTACTTTGCCAAACTATTTGTGAGACGGACATCTGTCGGTTCATGGTTGCATCGGGTTCCTTTCAAAGACATCTCCACGCAGGAGGGGATCCTGCACCATCAGCCACAGTAAAAGAACCAACGGTGGCACGGTGGCACGGTGGCACGGTGGCACAGTGGCACGGTGGCACGGTGGCACGAAGTGCTGCTACCTGGCCTCAGAAGTGTAGCCGTCCAAACTCATCACCTGATGAATTTACGGAAACCATGGAAAGAACTTGGTGTATTGGTGGGTATTGGCCGGAGGCTTCACCATGTTTCAGGCTTGCTGTATGCAAAGAAGAATTTAATGACAAGATTAGGAAAAAAACAACCTCATGACATCGATGCAACCAAATGATGCAAACGTTCTGTGCCTTGAACCATCAAACTGCTTCAGGCAGCAGTTGTGAATAATTCTGAGGGTGAACCAAGATTATGGCGGGGTACCACTGGACCCATAGAATTCATCATTTCTAGGTGTTTTTTCCATTCCAGAATGGGGCTGAATCATTTTGGGCCATAAAAGCTTCCTGTTCCGAGCCTGGATCTCTGTAAGCACAATCTTCGCAGCTGCGAGTATGCCCACCACAGTTGCACACCTGGCTCAGCTGGTAATGTGTTCTACCCTTCCTGCGTCTGCTACCTCCGAGGTTTTAAATAGATTAAGGGAAGTAATGATCGTTGAGGTATTCAAAGCTGGAGATGACACGAAGCTTGGAACACATGCACCCGAAACAATATAAAGCATTTCCAAATATCTTGGGTTTCTGGCCTGACAGCTAAGAAGCACATGCTGATAATGGCCACAGAAATGCTGCAGCCCACGATCACTGTTCCCTTGGAGCTGGCTCAGCAATTCTTTGCACATTCTGGCCATTGCGGTTGAAGCAGGGAAGGTGCAAGAACATGCTCCACACTATCAAAAGTTAACACATTTAACTAAATATCACAAAGGCAGCATACGAGCTCCCCGCCAGAAGTTCCTGAGATTCGCACACGAACCCGCTGAAGTCCCATGGGAATCTTCTTTTCACAAATTTACATGAATATACATGTGTCTATTTACATATATAATGTAAATACAATATACCATACAGTCACCCAAATGTGCATTCTATATTTAAATGTATATATATATACATACCTGAGAAGGGGGGAACGAAAGCCAGCATCCCATCTACTGGTACCCCTATTTTCCCCCAAAGATTTTTCACCCACAGACTCTTCACCCATATACTTTTCACCCAGAGACTTTTCACCCACAGGCTTTTCATCCACATACTTTTTCACCCACAGACTTTCACACATATACTTTTCACCCACAGACTTTTCACCCACCATCTTTCACCCATATACTTCTCATCCATATACTTTTCACCCAAGACTGTTCAACCATATACCTTTTCACCCAAAGACTTTCACCCATACACTTTTCGCCCACAGACGTTTCACCCACAGACTTTGCACCTCAGACTTTTCACCCATACCCGTCTCACCCACATACTTTTCACCCACTGACTTTTCACCCGTAAACTTTTCACCCAGGGACTTTTCACCCACAGTCTTTCACCCATATACTTCTCACCCATATACTTTTCACCCGCAGACTGTTCAACCATATACTTTTCACCCGTAGACTTTTCAGCCGGAGACTCTTCACCAATATACATTTTACACTCAGATTTTTCCCCCATATACTTTTCACCCTCAAACTTTTCACCAAGGGACTTTTCACCCACAGTCTTTCACCCATATATTTCTCACCCATATACTTTTCATCCAAGGCTGTTCAACCATATACTTTTCACCCACAGACTTATCACCCGTAGACTTTTCATCCACAGACTTTTTAGCCACAGACTTTTCACAGGCGAAGGGCTCACTTTGGGCATAAATTCGAGCTCACTTTGGGCATAAATTTTTGAGGTTCACTTTAGGCATAAATCGGGCTCACTTTGGGCATAAATGGGCTCACTTTGGGCATAAATTGGGCTAACTTTGGGCATAAATGGGCTCACTTTGGGCATAAATGGGCTCACTTTGGGCATAAATGGGATCACTTTGGGCATATAGAGCAGAGCCACGACACCTTTAGGGTTTATATGTTGTTGCACTTACTGTAAGAAGAGCCACGACACCTTTAGGGTTTATATGTTGTTGCACTTAATGATCTTAATGTACAGTAAGAAGAGCCGCAGCACCTTTAGGGTTTATATGTTGTTGCACTTAATGTAAGAAGAGCCACGACACCTTTAGGGTTTATATGCTGTTGCACTTAATGTAAGAAGAGCCCCGACACCTTTAGGGTTAATATCTTGTTACACTTAATGTCAGGAGAGACACGACACCTTTGGGGTTTATATGTTGTTGCACTTACTGTGAGAAGAGCCACGACACCTTTAGGGTTTATGTGTTGTTACACTCAATGCAACAAGAGCCACGACACCATTAGGGTATTTATGTCGTTGCACTTAATGTAAGAAGAGACACAACACCTTTAGGTTTATATACTTTTCACCCAGGGACTCTTCACCCAGAGACTCTTCTTCCACAGGCTTTTCAGACTTTTCACCGAGAGACTCTTGACCAATATACTTTTTACCCAGAGACTCTTCACCCATATACTTTTCACCCAGGGACTTTCACCAATACATTTTTCGCCCATATTTTTTCAACCCACACTCTTTTCACCCACAGACTTTGCACCCTCAGACTTTTCACCCATACCCGTTTCACCTGTATATATACTTTTGACCCACGGGCTTTTCACCCACATACTTTAAACATTTTTTAACCCACAGACTTTTCACCCAGACGCTCTTCATCAATATACTTTTTACCCTCATTTTTTTTACCCCGATATACTTTTCACCCACAGACTTTTCACCCATATACTTTTCTCCCACATACTTTCCACCCACATTCTTTCACCCATATAATTACTTCTCACCCATATACTTTTCACCCACAGACTGTTCAACCATATACCTTTCACCCCTAGACTTTTTACCCAGAGACTCTTCACCAATATATTTTTTACACTCAGACTTTTCCACCATATACTTTTCTTCGTCCATATACTTTTCACCCATACATTTTTTGCCCAGAAACTTTTCAGCCATATATTTTTTTTCACCCATTGACTTTTCACCCACTGACTTTCACCCATACACTTTTCACCCACAGACCTTTCACCCCAGACTTGGCACCCTCAGACTTTTCACCCATACCCGTTCCACCCATATACTTTTGACCCGCGGACTTTTCACCCCACGCTTTTCGCCCAGAGATTTTTCACCCACAGACTTTTTCATGCACAGCCTTGTCACACTTTTCACCCATATACGTTTCACCCAGGGACTCTTCACCCAGAGACTCTTCTTCCACAGACTTTTCACCCACAGACTTTCCACCCGCAAACTTGTCGCCCACAGACTTTCAAGGATCCTTACGCTCATATTTTCATATTTTCACAACCCTCTCCAAAATTTCCTCATTTCACATCCTATACCGACAGAAGTTTCTTCTCCGTAGCTACTGTGCCTCCATTCACGGACCCTTACCTCTGCCCTCCTCACCTCATATTTTCGTCACCCCTTTCCAAAGCTTCCTATTTTCACATCCCATACTGACAGAAGCTCCCTCAAATCCCCTACAGGGAACGGTCCAAGAGAATAGTGGTCCCACTTCGGACCCCACTGCATATTTTCGTCACCCCTTCCAAAGGTTCCTAATGTCACCTCCTATACTGACAGAAATTCCTTCTAAGCCTTGCGACCCAGGCAGTGCCCTTGCCTCTGGCCTCATTCTATTCCATTCTATTCCAGTCTCTATATCGGACGGACCAGGAGACCCCACTGCATATTTTCGTCACCCCTTCCAAAATTCATAATTTTACATCCTATACTGACAGAAGTTCCTTCTAATCCTTACGACCACCCCAACAGATAGGAGTAGAAGGGTAAAAGAGAAATGCATATTTTCGTCACCCCTTCCAAAGCTTCCTAATTGCACACCCTATACTGACAGAACTTCCTTCTAATCCTTGCGACCATAATGGTCCCACATCGGAGCCCAACAGATACGGCTAGAAGAGTAAGAGAGATACATAAAGAAAAGTAGTCATGGATTCTATTCCAGTCTCTGCATCGGACGGACCAGGAGACCCCAATGCATATTTCGTCGCCTTTCCCAAGCTTCCTAATTTCACATCCTATACTGACAGAAGTTTCTCTTAATCCTCGCGGCCATACTGGTCCCACATCAGAGCCCAACAAATACAAGTCGACGAGAACAATCTCATCCACATCCTTTCGCAACCTTTCCAAGCAATGCCTTTCCCTATGACTCCCTTCTATTCCAGTCTTTCCCAAAGCATCGTATACTGACAGAACTTGCTTCTAATCCTTGCCACCATAATGGTCCCACATCGGAGCCCAACTACTGACAGAAGTTGCTTCTAATCCTTGTGACCATCAAGCAATGCCTTCTCCTCTGACTCCCTTGGATTCCAGTCTCTCTATCGCCTCCCCAAATGCACCTCCGAGGACGGACCAGGGGGGAATCGATACCCCACCGTCACCCAATTGCCACCTGGTACATAACCCTCAAAAATGTTCCAATTGTCCAAGCTCCACTGCGCCCAATTCCGTGACTTTGGTCACATTTCGCCCGCTCTCCCCCTTAACTCACTTTTGTTCGCAAAAAGAACTTCGCCTAGCCTAGCGGCTGGCTTTCGTGATATACACATGTGTATATATATATATATCAAAACGCAAGAGCTCCCCCAGGAGCATCGCACGGGCTCTGTTTTCCTCGCTTGACGGAAAGATCCCTGTGAACACATGCATTGGTAAAAGGACCTGGAGTGATGGCTGCTGGAATTCACACTGGTTATATTCTGTATTCGATTTTTTGTAAAGTGACTTTCCCAGTCACACCAGTTGAAAAAGTAGCAGAGCAAAATGCTATTCCATCGGAAATGGCCAGGTCTTTGGGTTTCTCATGTCTCTATTTCTTGTACTGCGCACCACAGACGATCCTGGAAAGCAAGTCTCGGAGAGGCCACTGATTGGAATCACTGAGTTGTAAACCTCAATGAACTTGGCGAGATCCTTGAGCTGAGCGGATGATGACTCACTCACATGTTCACGGATCCACTTGACATAGCCAGAATGGGCGATGTCCTTGCTCGTCACCAACTCCAGATAGCTTAACTCATGAGACTTCATTTTGCCAAAGGTGATAATGGTCTGTGCCCATTGGCGACAGGATGGCACCTGGCTGGGCAATTGTCCATGAGCTGATGCATCCATTTGATGCCACTGAGCCGCCGTCACTGTCACTGACAAGCTTTCCATAGAGCTTGCGCCGGTCTTTCCAGACTTCGCTGCAGCGTCCGGCGGAGGGGACAGCTGACGCTTGCTGGCATCGGTCATGGCTCCCTGAGTAAGAGGATCCCAGGAGGCATCAGAATCACCATCTCCAATGATCGTGGAGGCTTTCACACCAGTAAGGAGCTCTTCAAGCACACCAGACTGCCGCGCTTTAAGCAACAAAAACTTCAGGCTTGACAACTCCGTCGAAGACAAAGTGCTAAGCGACATGAGCACTGTACACAAACTACTGTATCTTCAATGCAGAAAAATAAACGCAGGACTCGGGTTTGAGAGCTCGATAACACGAATTCAGAACACAGGCTTACGCAAAATCCCACATCGTACCCAGCAATGTTTCTACCACAAGCATTTGCATCAGATGGAGAAAGGCGCGCTATCTGTGATTGTTTGCTTGCTTTTACAAGGTCACAAAAACTCAAAACATGCAAAAAACGGATG